ATTAAGCCAGAGCAGGCTTTCTCAATTAGGGTTCATTGGAACATTGGAACCCTAGGGTTTTCCTCCAGAAGTTTCCAGAAGTTCCTTGAGCAATGAAAAAAGACAGACTTTTCAATTTCTCACCATACAATGACTACAAGTGTAAGGGGTCAATTTTAGTACACAGTTTTCCAATGCAGAAGGTTTTATTTTGGTGTCCTCTACTGACAGTAAGAGTAACACTAATCTGAGGAGACACTTTTGACCACTGAATAGTGTAAGGAGGCAATGCAGTTTTCACAGTCTGTTTCATTTCTGCCCATTATAATTATTTGATGAATAGAACAAGGGAGTGTTGTAAAATAAACTGGCTCTGCTTGTCAAAACTTTAACATGAATTGGCACTTTGTGTTCTGGCCAGGACATTCTTTTGATCTCTAGACAAATATATAACATAACCATGTTATATGAAATAACCACAAATGTCTTTTCTTTGTGCTCACAGCATTATCAGTAAGCTATATTATTTACTCTTTTTTCTTTTTTTGTAAAAGCTGTCAAAGCATGGATCATACTTTTTTTTTTTTTTTCATAGTAAAACGTGGTTTGTCCACATGGCTTTTGGCATCTTATAATTTTATCAGGCTTTTCTGAGGACCTTCAATTTATTTTGGTGTTTCCAAATCTACTGTTCCTCAGCAAACGGGGACTGTTTAGCGCAAAAAGTCAGGGTTTTCACAGTAAGAGTAACTTTGGTAGTGACTTCTTATAATTCTGAAGTCACCTCTTCTCTTGTCTTCCTGGAATTCTCTTGCCTTGAACATAAGGCAAAGGAGGCTAAATTGGTGCTTATTATGCTTGAGTTGAAATATGGGAGTATGAACTATTTTACTTGTTGAATAATTGTGGCAATGAAGAAACCACATGATTTGTGTTTCTGTCATTTTAGTTGCATTTGGGTAGTTACAACGCTAGTTGTTCTGAAATTCCAAATACACACCCTAAACCCCTTTACAGCATTGGGGTTTGAATAATTTTGGTCACCTGTCAGACTGGTAGCCTGAATTTTCTCTGCTGTGGGTTAAACAATACAACTAGGTCACTTCTCTACCCCCCAGTCTATGAACAGCAAAAGATCTGCAGCAGTCTAGTGAGGTAATCTTTCTGCTCACTCTGCTTTCTTCTATCATTATGTTTCTTGTTGTCATTTGTGCACCATAGAACCTATGGACATGTCTAGCACTGCCACTTCCTCTCCAAGTCTGAGTGCTGCTATACAGGGCATTACCAGAGACTGATACTAAATCAAATTCCAAAGATTATGATAGCACGATTGCGATCTACCTGTCAACCACGGGCCGGTGACAGGTAGATCACGATTAAGACCCTGTCCTGCCGGTCTGAAAGTGCTCCTCACCCCACATCCTCGATTGGTGAACAGCACAGAGAAGCGTTCAAACTGGGAAGTATAGGTAGAATCATTCTCCTCCTCACAGCACACCCCTTTAATGTGCAGCTGCGGGGGGAATGCCTCTGTCGTCTAGGATGTTCTAGCAGTCTGCTGATCCCTGCTGGTGTAGCGGCAAGATCTGCGGTGGACTGACCATTTGGAAACTCGGGCACTGCCCGAGGGCCCGGAGTCAGTAGTGGGCCCCATGAGATACCCCTGGTATCTTTTTCATAAGCTTTTTTGAGTTTGGGCAAGGACACAGGGGCCCCATGATCCCCTATTGCCCCGGGGCCCCATGAGTTGTCAGTTCGCCCCTGGGCAAGATCTGTCTTCCCATGTAGATATGTCCCCCTGAAACAACTGTGCATGTCACGGTTTCAGGCACAATGAATCGATTATAGAACTACTGTATCCGACCATATACCTTTGCTGACATAACCCCTTCCATGCTAAAAGATCGTTGTGTCGCCAGGTCACAGCGGGACACAGACAGGATCGACAGGATGAGTCATTTAAAACTTACATGCTGACTGATCTGCACGGTAATTTAACACTTACATGCTGACTGATCTGCACGGTATACAGGCTGAATCATTTCAGGTGTACATAAAATACATGGCGTGTATGCGTGTAATCAGCGGTGCAGCATAAAAGGGGTTAACTGTGGCAGCTCTGTGCTACAGTTGATGATCGACGATCGGCTTTTTATGCTTAAAACTGTGACATGCGCAGTTGCTTCAGGGGGACATATCTACATGAGGAGACGTATCTTGCTGCTACAGCGGCCCTCCTCTCCAGTTCATTCAGAGCTGATTCACACATGTGCACTGCAGATTGAAGCTCAGGTTTCACAGCTAATTGACACAGTAGTTGTTCAGCAGTTCATGTCAGGCTGCAGCACCCTAGTGACCTTTGCTGTCTTTCATGTTGTCATGGTAGATCATTACCTCTCAAATGTTGCCTACTCCCATGTTAGACGAATTCTAAAATATATAACTGCATTATTCTGATGTAATGTCGTATCTGCTTAGTTCAGCTTTACCTTTAAATTGATAAACTGTTGAGATTAATGTATCACCTGTTTACAATGTTTCATAATTTCACAAGCAATCATGATTTGGTGCTTGTAGATATTTCCTGTTGTTGTTAAGTGGCACATTTTCACTTTTCACAATCTCTCATCAACATCTTCACAGACGGGTTGATGAGTTATAGTCATTGCACTAGAAACTAATGAAAAAAGGATTACTGTCTTGAAACCTAAAATATACTAATGTATAAAGCAGTAAAATACAATGCAAAAAAAAAAAAAAAATAGGAACACTTTTTAACCAGAGTATAGCATCAAGTCAATTAAACTCCTGGGATATTGATCTGGTCAGTTAAGTAGCAGAGGGGGTTGTTGATCAGTTTAAACTGCTTTGGTGTCAATGAAATTAAGAACAGGTGCACTAGATGGGCAACAATGAGACAGCCCCCAAAACAGGAATTGTTTTACAGGTGGAGGCCACTGACATTTTTTTCCTTACTCATCTTTTCTTGACTGTTTTTCACTACTTTTGCTACTTTCACTACTCTCCTTAAGTTACTGTAACATGCCACTCAGCATGACCATTTTGGTGGTGGGTCAGTGATGGTCTGTGGAGGCATATCCATGGAGGGACACACAGACCTCTACAGGCTAGACAATGGCACCCTGACTGCCATTTGACATTGGGATGAAATCCTTGGACCCGGAGCAGTGGGTCCTGGGTTCCTCCTGGTGCACGACAATGCCTGGCCTCATGTGGTGAGAGTATGTAGGAAGTTCCTGAAGGAGGAAGGAATTGATATCATTGAATGGCCCCCATGTTTGCCTGACCTAAATCCAATAGAACACCTCTGGGATATCATGTTTCGGTCCATCTGACCTTGCCAGGTTGCACATAAGATAAATGTAGGTGCAGCGCTAGAATATCAGAATTATTCAATGTGATTTAACCATATGCAATAAATATATATAAAATAATGTGTAAAATAATTGGTATTCCAACATAAAGCGACAAAGTGCAAATATTGTGCTAATATGTCATATCCACAATAAAGTGCTAATGAAGTGACAATCGTGAGCACTTAATAGTGCTCAAAACCCAGTATATGACAAAAGAATGTCCATAAAGTGCTAATTGTGAATATCCATCCAATAATGATCTTAGGTAAGTGTTTCGTATATTCTAACGATTATTCAGTGATGTGCCGGGAATGTGTTAAGATTACGCACTCACCAGATGCGTAATAATAATACGCATTTGTATATAATGTTGTCAGCCGGAGGTTCCCTTAAGGATGTGTACAGCCTGGTCTGGTCAGAGAGATCTCTTTCCCCTGGGTTATCTGAAGCACCTCAGCCGTCCTCCAGAATGGGCTCATTATGAAGGATAACGTCAGCCTGTGCCCAGCGCTCTGATGGTTGGGGGTTGGAGAATTATCATCCGGTCATTAGTGCCTGTCAATTCGCTGGGAGGGTGACCCCGTCCTGTGGTGCTCTGTGAGGGCCCCCATGTTGTATCGCATAGGCCGCAGTCATGCGGTCGATTATAAATAGCCGGCTATCGGCAGCCAACCCCACCGAGCTCCCCTCACATCTGCTGTCCTTGTCAGCGTGACCCTATGATCTTAAAGGGGAACTCCACTTTTATCTTCCTCGTCTGTCACTCGCTCTCACACGTGGATTCTGCTCCAGGAGACTTCCGATGCTGTTTCATCTGCTGGGTTTGACAGGTAAAGACCTCAATTTGGCAGAGTGAGTTCCCATAGCTAGGAGACATTGAGCCACTGAGTGTCAGTATTTCAGCCTGTTTACTGAAATACTTACACTCAGTGGCTGAATGTCTCCTAGCTATGGGAACTCTGCCAAATTGAGGTCTTTATCTGTCAAACCCAGCGGATGAAACACCATCGGAAGTCTCTTGGAGCAGAATCCACGTGTGAGAGCGAGTGACAGAAGAGGAGAATAAAAGTGGAGTTCCCCTTTAAGATCGCAGGGGCAAGCTAACAAAGACAGCAGATATCAGGGGAGCTCGGTGAGGTTGGCTGCCCATAGCCGGCTATTTATAACCGAACCCATGACTGCGTCCTATGTGAAAGAACATGGGGGCCCTCACAGAGCACCACAGGATGGGGTCACCTGGCCAGCATTTGCGGTGTGGTTGCAACTCAGTTGCGAGGCGTTTGCGGAGTGTTAATACCATTTAAACTTCATTATAGGAGTTTTTGGTGCGGGTTTAATGCTTGGCAAATGCCTATCAACCGCCTCAAAACCACGCATAGGGCGTTTTGGGAGCGTTTGCGGAGCGTTAAAAACTCTTCACAACTGCCTGTCTAACGCTTGTCAAATGCTATAGGGCGTTTGGCAAGAGTTAGAAATAGTCAAGTGTGAACGAACTCTTAGGCATTAGAAAGCTAAATTGGTTTTCTTCACACACACACATATATATATATATATTACCATAGGTATTGGGACACCCCTCCAAATCATTGGATTCAGGTGTTCCAATCAACACCATGGCCACATGTGTATAAAATCAAGCACCTAGGCATGCAGACTGTTTCTACAAACATTTGTGAAAGAATAAATCGCTCTCAGGAGCTCAGTGAATTCAAGCGTGGTACCGTGATAGGTTGCCACCTGTGCAATAAGTCCATCCGTGACATTTCCTTGCTACTAAATCTTCCACGGTCAACTGTTAGTGGTATTATAACAAAGGAACTGGGAACAACAATAAAATTGGTAGGCCACGTAAAATGATATGAGTATGGTCAGCGCATGCTGAAGAGCACAGTGAGAAGAAGTCGCCAATAGCTAAAGACCTCCAAACTTCATGTGGCCTTCAGATTAGAAAAACAGTGCATAGAGAGCTTCATGGAATGGGTTTCCATGGCCGAGCAGCTTCATCCAAGCCTTACATCAATCTGCAATGCAAATCGTTGGATGCAGTAGTGTAAAGCTTGCCACCACTGGACTCGAGCACGAAGCAAACTTCTCTGTCTGGCAATTTGATGGATGTGTCTGGGTTTGGCGGTTGCCAGGTGAACAGTACTTGCCTGACTGCATTATGCCAAGTTTGGTGGAGGGGGGATTATGGTGTGTGGTTATTTTTCAGGGGCTGGGCTTGGCCCCTTAGTTTCAGTGAAAGAAACTCTTAAGGCGTTAGCATACCAAGGCATTTTGGACAATTTCATGCTCCCAACTTTGTGGATGGCCTCTTCCTGTCCCAACATGACTGTGCACCAGTGCACAAAGCAAGGTCCATAAAGACATGGATGAGTGAGTTTGTGCAGGCCAGTTAAGTCCCTCCACCCCAGAGTCCTGACCTCAACCCGATAGAACACCTTGGGGATGAATTAGAGTGGAGACTGTGAGCCAGGCATTCTCATGCCTGAGCTCACAAATGCACTTCTGGAAGAATGGTCAAACATTCCCATAGACACACTCCTAAACTTTTGTGGACAGCCTTCCAAAAAGAGTTGAAGCTGTTATAGCTGCAAAGGGTGGGCCAACTCAATTGTGAACCCTACGGACTAAGACTGGTATGCCATTAAAGTTCATGTGCGTGTAAAGGCAGGCGTCCCAGTACTTTTGGTAATATAGTGTATACTCAACAACGTTATAAAAAAAATTAATTGATGGTATTTTTAAAAACAAATTACCAAATTAAATTCTCTTACTGGATGTGTTAATCATTTTGGAATGTACGGGTCCATATATATTTGGACACAGGCACAATTGTCATACTTTTGGCTCTGTATGCCACCAGAATAAATTAAAACAAAACAATCCAAATTAATTTGAATTGCAGACTTTCAGCTTTAATTCATGGGGTTGAACATAAATATCAAGTACAAATTTTAGGAACTGCAACCATTTTTATACACAGTCCCTCCATTTTCACGGGCTCAAATGTAATTGGGCAAATGAATATAATCATAAATAAAATATTAATTTTTAATATTCCATCCAGAATCCTTTACTGGCAATGACTGCCTGAAGTGTGGAACCCATGGACATTACCAAAGACTGGGTTTCCTCCTTTCTGATGCTTTGCCAGGCTCTAACTGCAGCTGTCTTCAGTTGTTCTTTGTTTGTGGGTCTTTCTGCCTTTGCCATTGCAGAATATCCCACTTCTTTTCCTTCAAAGGCTCCTGGGTTTCTTTTGCAGTGTGTTTTGGATCATTGTCTATCTGTACTGTGAAACGCTGTCCAATCAACTTTGCTGCATTTGGCTGAACCTGGGCTGACAGTCTATTTCTAAACACTGCAGAATTCATCCGGCTGCTTCTGTCTTCTGTCACATCATCAATAAACAAAAATGACCCAGTGCCACTGGAAGCCATGCATGCCCATGCCATCACACTGCCTCCACCATGTTTTACAGATGAAGTTGTGTGCTTTGGATCATGAGCTGTTCCAAGCCTGCTCCACACTTTTTTCTTCCTGTCATTCTGGTACAGATTAATCTTAGTTTCATCCGTCCAAAGAATGCTTTTCCAGAACTGGTCTGGCTTTTTTAGATTTTTTTGGCAAAGTCTAATTTGGCTTTTCTATTTTTCAGACTTTTGAATGGTTTGCACCTTCTGGTGAACCCTCTGTATTTGCTCTTGTGAAGTTTTCTCTTGATTGTAGACTTTGACAATGATACTGAAAGGAAGAACTTCCTGCGCTAGGAATGGGGCCCTATTATACAAGCTGCTGACACAAACCTCTTACCAAAAATGAGTGAATACACATAAATATAAAGTGCTACGCTATATCCCTAAAATTACTAAATAGATAAATATAAGTGCTACCTAACTGTGCAAAAATTATCAGTGCTCTAAATAATACCACACGGTGCTAAACCTATGTACAAAATGTGCAATTACAATAAAATGCAACACCTGTAATCCCAAATGGGAATATAAAGTAAAAAAATAGTGACAATCACTAAAGCAAAATCACTGCAAACATCTGTTATTTAAAAATAAGTCCATAAGGAAAATATAGTGTCCAAATACAACATAAAAGACTCTCATGCATGAAGATTGAGAGTCTTTTATGTTGTATTTGGACACTATATTTTCCTTATGGACTTATTTTTAAATAACAGATGTTTGCAGTGATTTTGCTTTAGTGATTGTCACTATTTTTTTACTTTATATTCCCATTTGGGATTACACGTGTTGCACTTTATTGTAATTGCACATTTTGCACATAGGTTTAGCACCGTGTGGTATTATTTAGAGCACTGGTAATTTTTGCACAGTTAGGTAGCACTTATATTTATCTATTTAGTAATTTTAGGGATAGCGCTGCACTTTATATTTATTTGACAATGATACGTCCACCTCCTGGAGAGCGTCTTTCACTTATCTGGATGTTGTGAATGGGTTTTTCTTTACCATAGAGAGGATCCTGCGATAATCCGCCACAGTTTTTTTCCATGGACATTCATGCCTTTTTATGTTGCTGAGCTCCCCAGTGCATGCTTCTTTCCTCAGAATGTACCAAACTGTTGATTTGGCCACTCCTAAAGTTGCTATCTCTCTGATGGATTTGTTACAATAGCCTGTTTCACTTGCATGGACAGCTCCTTTGAACGCATGATGTATGTTCACTGCAATAGATTTAAAATGCAAATACCACATTTAGCAACAACTCCAGACCTTTTACCTGCTTAACTGATGAAGAAATAACTAGAATGGAGTAGCCCACACCTGGCCATGAAACAGCTTTTGATTCAATTGTCCAATTACTTTTGGTCTCTTGAAAAAGGGGGATGGCTACTCTTAAAAGTTGTAATTACTAAACCCTTCCTCCAATTTCGATGTACATACCCTCTAATTAAACCTGAGAGTGTGCACTTTCAGCCACATATCCAAGATAGAACTATACCTTGAATATGTTTTGGTAAATACCTGAAAAAAACTAAAATTGAGCCTGTGTCCAAATATACAGTATATGAACCTAACTGTATAGTGTTTAAGTGTTCTTTAATAACCTGGGTCATACTAAAACTTTAAAATATGGTCTGGTTACAAAGCTTTTCATTTCTCCTGGACATAAAGAGGTTCAGTAAACAACTCTTGTACAAGTGAAACTCGAAAAATTAGAATATGGTGCAAAAGTTCATTTATTTCAGTAATGCAACTTAAAAGGTAAAACTAATACATATAAGATAGACTCATTACATGCAAAGCAAGATAGTTCAAGCCGTGATTTGTCATAAATGTGACGATTATGGCTTACAGCTCATGAAAACCCCAAATCCACAATCTCAGGAAAATTAGAATATTATATGCAATAAATAAAACAAGGATTGTACATAGAACAATATCGGACCTCTGAAAAGTATAAGCATGCATATGTACTCAGTACTTGGTTTGGGCCCCTTTTGCAGCAATTACTGCCTCAATGCGGCATGTCATGGAAGCTATCAGCTTGTGGCACTGCTGAGGTGTTATGGAAGACCAGAATGCTTCAATAGCGACCTTCAGCTCTTCTGCATTGTTTGGTCTCATGTCTCTCATCTTTCTCTTGGCAATGCCCCATAGATTCTCTATGGGGTTCAGGTCAGACAAGTTTGCTGACCAATCAAGCACAGTAATCCCACAGTCATTGAACCAGGTTTTGGTGCATTTGGCAGTGTGGGCAGGTGCCAAGTCCTGCTGGAAAATGAAGTCAGCATCCCCATAAAGCTTGTCTGCGGAAGGAAGCATGAAGTACTCCAAAATCTCCTGGTAGATGGCTGCGTTGTCCCTGGACTTAATGAAGCAAGCACAGTAGACCAACACCAGCAGATGACATGGCTCCCCAAATCAACACAAACTTTGGAAACGTCACACCGGACTTCAAGCATCTTGCAGTGTGTGCCTCTCCATTCTTCCTCCATACTCTGGGTCCTTGGTTTCCAAATGAGATGCAAAAGTTGCTCTCATCAGAAAAGAGGACTTTGGACCACTGAGCAACAGACCAGGTCTGTTTTTCTTTAGCCCAGGTAAGATGCTTCTGACGTTGTTTGTTGTTCAGCAGCGGCTTGACAAGAGGAATAGGACATTTGAAGCCCATGTTCAGGATCCATCTCTGTGTGGTGGCTCTTGATGCACTGACTTCAGCCTCAGTCCACTCCTTGTGAAAGTTCCCAATACTTTTGAATGGCCTTTTCCTGACAATCCTCTCCAGGCTGTGGTCATCCCTGCTGCTTGTACACCTTTTTTCTTCCACACTTTTCCCTTCCACATAACTTTCTATTAATGGGCTTTGATACAGCACTTTGGGAACATGGGGGGGGGGGGGGGGGGGGGGGGGGGGACCAACTTCTTTTGCAATTACCTTTTGAGGCTTTCCCTCCTTATGGAGGGTGTCAATGATGGTTTTCTGTACAACTGTCAGGTCAGCAGTCTTTCCCATGATTGTGATTCCTACTGAACCAATCTGAGAGACCATTTAAACGCTCGGGAACCCTTTGCAGGTGTTATGGCTTAATTAGCTGATTAAAATGGGACACTTTGAGCCTAGACTATTGCACCTTTTCACAATATTCTAATTTTCTGAGATTGTGGATTTGGGGTTTTCATGAGCTGTAAGCCATAATCATCCCAATTATGACAAATCACGGCTTGAACTATCTTGCTTTGCATGTAATGAGTCTATCTCATATATTAGTTTCACCTTTTAAGTTGCGTTACTGAAATAAATGAACTTTTGCACGATATTCTAATTTTTCGAGTTTCACCTGTAGAAGCCCTTCAATCACATGGAACTTTGGTGGGTGAAAGCACACTTTTCCAAGTTTTGTCCTCTTTTCCCAGTACTTATCTTTCTAGCTGAAAGGATTGCTCTTCTTTTTTTGTCAGGTCATCCTTCTGACTTTAATATCAGTACCCTGGCTCTGAATGAGGTGCTGTAGCTTTATGAAATTTGAATGAGGTGCTGCAGTTTTATGTTCCAGCAATGTTTAGGTAAGCTAAGGCAGAAATCCAGGGCTTTTGCTTTCTGGTATGTGTGATCCCTCAGTTCTACTCAAGTCCTTTTGGAACAGGTGCTTTGTAAACGGTAGTTACTTGTAACTACCATTTTTGTTTTGATCT